GCGATGAGAACGTCAGCTCAACTTATATGATTGTGGGAAAATGGTTCTTCTACCAGTCCTTCATCACCTTAAACGAAATTGGGTGAATACATCTCATACTACTGATTTCTCAAACGCGAAAAATGAGAATTGTAACTGTCTAAGCCTTAACTACTGTTTTCGGAGGGTGCATAAAACATGGTTGTTTTCTTTTCCTGTATGAATAATATTGTCCTTGTGTGTATGTGTGTGTTTGTCTATACAACACCGATGATGATCGTTTTGAGTAGTTGCGAGGGGACGTATAATTTGCTCCAAGTCATTAGAAGTTAGTGGAAATTCAGCCTAAATCGTGTACTGCCTACTGAAGAGGGAATTGGTTTGGCTCTTTGCGTTAAATTCGGTACGAATAATGTTCACAATAACCTTGTCTATACAGAAAGGATAAACGATGTTGATATGGTCTTTGTCCGCCTAGGTTGCCTAGAGCGATTTAGGGATGAATAGCTGAGTTCTTCCAAACCGACAATTACTAGCCTCGAAGAAAGGTCAAGTCGTCAAGTGAGATGGCATCACCGGTTTGCCTCATAAATGCGATTCGCAAGAGGTCTGACTTACATTGAATGTCACGCTTTTCCCGTGACACATTGACACTCGTGGCTGTGAAGCGGAATGCTGATTGGGTTTACAAGAAAATCTAACAAAGGTCAAAAACCTCAGTCCATGCAGGCGAAGACAATATTTTTGGTAACAAGATTAAGTAATATGAGATGTATTCACGCAATTTCGTTTAAGGTGATGAAGGACTGGTAGAAGAAGAATTTTCCCACAATGATATGAGTTGAGCTGTCTTTTCCATTCAATTTCACATAGCCTTGCTTTCACAAAAGTTGTTCTCATCCAGGCACCAGTGGACTGCAGCTTCAACCTCGCATCGGTCTTATCAACACCCTCAGCAAAGCTATGTGAAATTGAATGTAAACACCAGCTAAACTTATATCATTGTGTGAAAATTATTCTTCTACCACTCCTTCATCACCTTAAACGAAATTGCGTGAATACATCTCATACTACTGATTTACTGCTAGTCACGCAAACAATACTTAATTCGAAAAATAACGATTAAGTAACTTCTACATAATTCTGGGCAGACTTCACTACCAGTTCTTAATTCTCCCTAAGCAGCCTGGATAGACTTTGCTCATTTTCTCGAACTAATGACAATCTTGAAACTAATCTCTTAAAAAAGAGAAATATTAAAGGCTATATACATTCCAGAATGGTTCGATCATAATCACATGTTCCTGTGAACGAGGCACGCAATATTGCTCCCTCTACAAGTGTTGCCATGGCTTTTGTCGGCCTCGAAGAAGACGATATTTCGGCACCGCAGTGAGCACCATCAGTGAACAGGTCGGTCTTTGAGACCGAACCCTGTTTTAACGAGTTTCCGCCTTGACGACTGGCTCCGAGGGGTGACTTCAACATGCCACTTTGAGGTGAGCTGAACCTCGGCATTAAAAATGGCCGTATTTGGGTAGGGTTTCGAGACTACCAGTAAATCAGTGTAATGAGATGTATTCACCCTATTTCGACTATAAGTAACGTTGTCGATTGCTATAGCAAACATACGTTTGCACTCCCACCAAAAGAATATGATATAGCAAAGAGGCCTGACCTTCCTTGAAATTCACTTATGCC